TGGAGCTAGTAAAGCTTTACCTCTATTACCTTTTATCTTTTCTCTTTTCAGAACTTTAGTACATGATATTGGTTTTGTGCCGGTTTGTGGATGTCGCGATACCCTTATTGGGGTCTGGTTGTCCCTCAGATTGGTACTACTGACCATGACTATGTCAGATGTGGATATACAGGTTCTTATGTCTAGCCAACTGATTCTAGGAGATGTCTTTTCAATGTGTATTTTTATGCTGATAGCTATAATCTTTGTATACTATGGTAAATCAATGTATTTCACATAATGTCCGAGGTTTCAATTCACCAAATAAGTGCAAAACAGCCTTTCTTCAATATAAGCGACTAGGGGCTAAACTTATTTTACTACAGGAAACACACATTTTTGCAGCCGCAAAACATCCAACATATTTTCATAAATCCTATAAGCAGGGGTATTATACCTTACATTCCTCTAAAAGTAGAGGAGTAGCCATTTTTCTGCACAATTCATTCCTCTTTGAGGTTCAACATGTGTATCGTGATCCGGACAGTAGGTTTATCATTCTTAAAGGCACCCTTTCGGGACGTGAACTTACGATTGCTAATATCTATGCACCGAATTCGGCACAAGCTTCCTTTTTTTCCAAAATTTTTGGGTGTTCTGGACAGGTTTTTGTCCCTCTATCTATTGGTGGGTGGTGATTTTAACCTGGTAGCAAATCCTCTTTTGGACCGTAGTTCCTCCTCGCATTTTTCCCAGGCTTTTCCAAAATCCCTTACTAAAAACTTAACGCCCTCCAGTTGGTGGACACCTGGAGGGTGCATAATGCGGGAGCCAGGGATTATTCATTTTATTCTCACCCACATTACTCTTATGCTAGATTAGACTATATCTATTGTACTCCTATCTTGCTAGCTAATTCTAGGAAAGCTTGTATTCACTTGAGCCCCTGGTCAGATCACAATATTTTAGCTTTATCTATCACGTTTACAGGATTGGCACCTACTCTCTATTCTTGGAGACTTAATGACTCCATGCTTACTGATATTAACTCTCGCCAAGAGGTGGTTACTTCCATTCAGGAATATTTTCAGTCTAACTCTACTCCTGATATATCCCCAGCCACACTATGGGTAGCTCAAAAGGCGGTCCTACGTGGCCACCTTATCTCTATGGCATTATCCAGAAATAGAAAACGATGGCAGCAAATTCTACAACTTTCCTGATAGAAGCACATTATAGAAGTCACATAGGTAATCCATCGCTTCTTAATAAACAGTTATTGTCTCAAAAGCATTTAGAATTGAATACTCTGCTTTCTGAAAAAGACTGAAAAAGCTCTCCGCTGGTCGAAGGCCTCGTTCTTGTTGCATAGCAACTCCGCATCCACTATGTTTGCAAGGAAATTGAATCACTCTTTGCGCCCCCCACATATTTATAAGTTACGCACTAACTCTGGCGCTGTTTCGTCTCTTCCTCGAGGTTTTGGGTATTTTTGAAAAAAGTTTTCTAGCTTATTAGCTCCTCCCCAGCCGAATTCAGTTCCATTATCTAACTCATGGTTGGATTCTATACCCCTCCCTGCTCTTACACCCTCTCAGATTGCCTCCCTTAATGCCCCCTGTACTTTTGAGGAAATCGTGCGATTAGCGCGCTAAAAAGCTCTACTGCACCGGGCTCTGACGGATTTACCGCTAGTTATTATAAACATTTTGCTTCTACGTTGGCACCTTATTTGATAACTTTTTATTTAATGATGTTTTTGCAGGGAGGTAAAGTCTCTGAGGAGATGCTATTGGCTAATATGTCTTTAATACCCTAACCACAGAAAGACCACCATCTACCACAAAACTATAGACCAATCTCAGTAATGAATAACGATTTGAAAATATTTAGCCGTATTTTGGCAGACAGGTTGGCCCCAATTATTTCCTCTTTGGTCTCTCCTGACCAATCGGGTTTTATTCCAGACAGATTTATTACTGATAACATTCGCCTCACACTAAATGTTATTCAAGATGCCAATTTACATTCTAAAGAGGTTCTGTTGATGAGTCTGGACATAAACAAGACCTTTGACAGTGTTCTTTGGCCTTATTTGTTTTCCTTGCTGCAGAAAATGGGCTTCAGTGATGAGTTTTTGGCTAGTAAACACGCCCTATATGACTCTCCTAAAACGAGAATAAGGCTTCCTGGCTGTAATTCTGATTTTTTTACATTGGGTGGAGGTACCCGTCAGGACTGTCCTCTTTCACCCCTTTATTTTGCTGGTGTTGGAACCATTGGCAATAGCAATCAGATCACATTCGGATATTTCTGGCTACCCATTATTAGTTTCACACTTTAAAATATGCATGTATGCTGATGATGTTATGCTTTTCCTTACCAATTCGTTAACTTCATCACCTACAGTAACTTATATGCCGTATTGAATGATTTTGCTATAGCGTCAGGTCTTACTGTCAATTTTCCCAAATTGGTGATTATGCCTGTTAATGTTCCTGATTCCCTAAGTGCATCTCTCTGTAGTTCTTTTTCATTTCGCTGGGTCACAGATCGGATTTCCTATTTGGGTATTAATCTCACTCCTAGATATTCGGATATGTTTGCTGCTAATTATCCACCATGTGTATCATGTCTCTCAACTCTATTGAAGATTTGGCATGGTTACCCTATTTCCTTTCTGGGTAGAGTCACAGCAGTTAAAATGAATATTTTGCCTAAACTTCTTTATCTTTTTAGGGCACTTCCAGTTCCGGTCTCAAAAATGTTTTTGGATCACTTTCAGCGGAATATTAATAACTTTATCTGGGGTAATAAACGTCCACGTTTTTACTTCATCTGTTTTGTACCGCTCACAACGAACAGGGGGTCTCGGTCTTGCCAATTTTTGGCTATATTATCTCTCAGCCCGTTTTGCCCAATTATCACAATGGGCAACTGTTAACTCTCAGATCCCGTGGATCAAGTTTGAATCTCAGTCTATACGCCCATTTTATTTACCGGGCATTTTGTGGTCCAAAATCTCTCCTCGATCGCTTACTTTTCATAACTCCATAGTGACCCATTCACTGACACTTTGGTCCAAATACAAATTTAAATTAAATCTGGTTTCTTCTATTCCTCCAGGTGTTTCATTTTTTGGTGATCCTACTTTTATTATAGCTTTTTCTTCCCCTCAAACGTTTTGTTGGTGGTATGATTGATCTTTTATTAGATTATCTGATTTTCAAAGAGGAGGATTTTATATTACTTTTGATATGCTGAGCGTGCTTTTTGAAGTTCCTCTTCGTGAATACCATCGTTACCGACAGATTAGACATTTTTTTTTTAATTCATATTTTGGCCTTATACCCTCTTCTCCGATTTAATTTTTTGAATTGAATTTACAGTTTTTCTGAGGTTCACAGAGAACTGCAAAGGAGTGAAAAAAAATTTCTGCTACATTATGTTGACGAAAGAGACTCTGTGCTAATAATTAGAACTTTGGCAGACATAGATTTGTGGATTATATTGCTGTTGAGCACTAACATTAGTTTATTTTTGGTGTTTGAACCATTTCCCACCAACTCAAACCCAAATAAGTCTTAATCACACTGTATGACTACCTATAACAGGTGAGTAATACAGCTCTTATTATCATGGATAACCACCATCAGCCTTCTCCTTCTTGGGCCAGCTGCACTCTTTCCTTTTAAATGTCTCGCACAACATGTAGGGAGACTACCATAGTATCTTGAAAACCTTTTTACATGGGAACAAGGTGCTTTGGGGGGGGAGCCCTTTCTGCCTCAAAGCACCCCCCCATGTTGAGGGCATGGGTCCTGGTATCATTCAGGAGGGGGAGTGTTTGCTTGTTCCCTCCCCCCCCCTTTCCTGACCTTCCGGGCTGCATGCTTAGATAAGGGTCTGGTATGGATTTTGGGGGGGGGATCCTATGCCATTTTAGAAAACATTTTGTCGTGGGGGTTCAGCTCAAAACCCATAAAAAATCTGAAGGGATTGGTATGGATGGAGGTGGGTACCCCACGCTGTTTTTTTTAATAAGTTTTTAATTCAGCTCTTGGTGGGGAACCCCGCTGAGAGATGATGATTCATAGGTTGCTAAGAACTCGGCAGCCATCCATTCCTTGACAACCCATGACAGTACTGATAGCTACCAGTATATACACATGCCTGGACCACTACTTAATTACCGCATGCATTTAATTATTTTTTTCCTTTTGTGACTTGACTTTAATGTCCTTTTATGCTGTATTTACCAAGCGTTTTTGCTATTTTTAGTAAATACCGCATATTAGCAATACTGAATTTACATTTTCAGTATTGCATGCGATATGTGGTCATGTGATTGACTGAACTAATGTGATAACCTTTAATGAATTGACCCCATTGTGCATTTTACTGTGAAGAAATGAGAGCTCCTGGACACTTTATATGCACTGTAGAGACTGTAAAGAAGCACAAAGAACACTCTTACTGAATCATGTTTAAGTTTTATTTGACGATATGAGCATTGTAGAGAATATGCTTTTTTTATTGCACGTTTAAACAAAAATCAATAGTGCTGCATAAAAGAGAGCGTATATATCAGGGCTGATACGATTAGCATAGCACTTGGTACAGTAGTTGTGAATTAAGGGATTACATCCAAAACGCTGGTTCACATTTTTTAAACAACTGTGTAACCTTAGGTTCACATATATGCGGCCGTGCTGACCGCATTTTGCGTGGGCACGAGAGCCCATTCATTTGAATGGATTCCAGTGCCCCATGACACACAGGGAAGAAGTCACTGCACTTCTTCTGAAAACTGAGCCCGCACAGGAACCTCAGTTCCCAGTATAGCTGTGTTTTCCAGGGCGGGCAGGGTGCTATTAGAAGTAATGGAAACCGCCCGTGGGTCCGCATTTCCCTGTGCGGGTGGTGCGGCTGCACGGATTTTTGTGCTGATCCGCAGCCGCACCACCAGCACAGATGTGGACCTAGTCTAAAACATTCAATGACAGATATCCTCTTATATCCTGAAATTAAATTATCCAGAAGCTTAGGTATAGTAACCGCCACAAACATAATTTCAAGAACAGCAAATGTACTTATGATAAAATACATTGGAGTTTGAAGCAATGTTTCAGTCCTAACTAAGGCGATGATGGTAATATTTCCTGTAATATAGATGATGTATGTTACCAAAACAAAGAGAAGAAGTAATATCTGGAGTTGCTTTAGGTCTGAGAAAGCAATTAAAAAAAATTCTTGTACTATGGTCTTATTGAGATCTTGTTGTATAGAGTAGAATCCCTGAAAAAAAAAATGGAGAATTGTCAAGGGGTTTGCAGATTGAACAGAAATCTCATATTTGTTTTTGACCAGTCAAATATAGAAGCCTTCATGTCCTTTTACTGTTTAAATTTAAAAGATAACTAAAGTAATTTAAAATCATATATAATGCATTCATAGAAAATAGTTTCTAACTAGCAGGCTCACAATTCTAGACTCCATGGCAAGAAAAACTACTCTTCTGACCAGGAAAATAATAAATGGGAAGCCAACATGAGAGATTTGGGAATGGCCATCTGTGAACCATTCTAAACCCTTAGGTTACTATTGCTATATAATGTATGGTGTGTGTAACAGTGTATAATGTATACTTACTAGAAATTTCTCAGCCATAGTCCAAGTAGAATGCATACATGTGATAGAAAATCATATGATGGCGATACAATAACTGAAATAAACACTGTTAGTATACTCCCATGATACTTGCTAGATTTGAAAGTACATGGGAACATGGGCAGATTTTATGAAAGTTTCATAGTCTGGCTGAAAAAAGACAAAAGTCCATCCAGTTGAACCATAAAAAAAAAAAAGTTATAATCCTACACCCACAGTTGATTCAGAGGAAAGCAAAAAAACCCAGCAAAGCATGATCCAATTTGCTACTGCTGGGAAAAAAATTCCTTCCTGATCCTCTGAGAGGCAATTGGATATTCCCTGGATCAACTTTACCTATAAATGTTAGTATCCAGTTATATTCTGTGTATCTAAGAAAGAATCCAGGCCTTTTTTGAAGCAATCTACTGAGCTGGCCAGAACCACATCTTGAGGGAGTCTATTCCACATTTTCACAGCTCTCACTGTGAAGAAACCTTTCCATGTTTGGAGATTACATTTCTTTTCCTCCAGACATAATGAATGCCACCTTGTCCTCAGTGATTACCTCAAGGTGAATAGCTAAGTTCACTATATGAACCACTGATGTCAGAGGCGTCCCTAGGGTTGGTGTCACCCTGTGCGGTAACACTTGGTGACACCCCCTCCAACAATCCCCGCAGGATGGATCGGATCTGTGGATTGGGGAGCATAATGGATCGGACTCCGATCCATTATGCTCAATCCTCAGATCCGATCCATCCTGCAGGGATCGTTGGCTTTCTTTACAACTTACCTTTTCTTGGAGCGGGTCCGCTGTCTACCCCGGTTAGATTGCATGCCGACGATCCCCGCAGGATCATCGGCATGCAACCTATGCGGGGTGACACCAGACCCACTCCAAGAAAAGGTAAGTTGTAAAGAAAGCCAAAGATCCCCGCAGGATGGATCGGATCCATCCTGCGGAGATCGCCGGCTTGCTTTACAACTTATCTTTTTGTGGAGGGGTCCGGTGTCACCCCGTGCGGTCAGTGTCACCCAGTGCGGACCGTACCCCCCCGCACCTGCCTCGGGACGCCACTGACTGATGTATTTATACATATTGATCATATCCCCCATTAATCTCCTCTTCTCGAGAGAATCCATTCAGTTCCTCTAATCTTTCCTCATAGCTGATCTCCAGGCCTTTTATCAGTTTGGTTGCCCTTCTCTGTACTTTCTCCTGTTCCCCAATGTTCTCTTTGTGAATTGGTGCCCAAAACTGAACTGCATATTCCAGATGAGGTGTTACTAAAGATTTGTATCGGGGTAATATGATATCTCTCTCTGGAGTCTAACTCTTTTAATACAAGAGAGGATTTTGCTCACTTTAGAAACTGCAGCTTGGCATTGCATGCCATTTTTAAGCTTGTGGTCTACCAGAACCTGAAGATCCTCCTCCACCATTGATTCCCCCAGTTGTACCCCTCCCCCAGTATGTATGATGCATGCATATTCTTACATTTATCCACATTAAACCTCATTTGCCACATAGTTGCCCAATTAAACAGTGCATTGAGGTTGGCTTGTAAGTTGGAGACATCCTGTAAGGACGTTATTCCACTGCACAGCTTGGTGTCATCTGCAAAGACTGAAATGGGGATTTATAATCCCAGGCCCTATATTGTTTATAAATATATTAAAAAGTAAGGGTCCCAACACTGAACCTTGGGGTACACCACTGATGACCCTAGACCAGGGGTGGGCAACTGTGGCCCTCCAGCTGTTGGTGAACTACAAGTCCCATCATGCCTCTGCCTGGGAATCATGCTTGTAACTTTCAGTTTTGCAGTGCCTCATGGGACTTGTAGTTCTACAACAGCTGGAGGGCCACAGTTGCCCACCCCTGCCCTAGACCATTAAGAGTATGAATCATTAACCACCACTCTTTGAATACGATCTTTTAGCCAGTTTTCTATCCATTTACAGTACATATGGATTTTTACAAGCCTGTAGACTCTACCTTACACATTAACCGTGTGTGGGAAACTGTGTCAAATGCTTTTGCAAAATCCAAGTATACCACGTCCACTACCACCCCTCTGTCCAAGGTTTTGCTCACCTCCTCATAAAAAGAAATCAGATTTGTTTGACAACGTTTGTCTTTCATGCTGATTGTTGCTTAAAATATTTTTTTTTCCAGCAAGAACTCATCTATGTGGTCTTTTATTAAACTCTCAAGTATCTTCTCATCTATAGAAGTTAAACTAACAGGTCTATAATTACTTGGTAAAGATTTTGACACGACATTGGCCTTACGCCAATCCAGTGGTACCATGCCAGTCATTAAAGAGTCCCTAAAAATGAGAAACAATGGCTTTTAAATGAGAAAGGTCAATTCTTTAAGGACCCATGTGTGTATGCCATCCGGTCCAGGTGCTTTATTCACCTTTTTATAGTGTCTAAATATTTTTGGATCATATCAATTGTGAGCCAATGTGGATCATCTGGAGCTGTGTCAACACCATGCCCATTAGGGACAAGAGCTCCCCCATGATCCTTTGTATACACAGAGCTGAAGAAGGTATTAAATAAATTTGCCTTATTTGTCCCCAGTCACCTGCTCTAGATTATTTTGTAAAGGGCCTACATGCTCAGAATGGACCTTTTTACTATTAATATATTTGAAGAATTTTTTGGGGTTGGTCCTGCTAGCTTTTGCAATCTGTTGTTCATTTTCGATTTTTGTTGCCTTTTATTTCCTTTTTGCATATTATGTTATATTCTTTGTAATGTTTAAAAAATGATAGCATTCCTTCATTTTTATATTTAATAAATGCTCTTTTCTTGTTATCTTTAGCTTTTTTAACTTTGGCCGTAAGTCACACAGGTTTGATTTTATTGCCCATGGGAATATATTTTGCAGTGTGTTCACATACAGTCTTTTTGAAGACCTCAAATTTCTGTGTTGTGTTTATCAATGCCAATATTCCCTCCAAGTATAAGTCTTGGAGAGCAGCTCTCAGCCTTGGAAAATTAGCTCTCTTGAAATTGAGCGTTTTTATTTTTCCCGTATGTGCTTGCTGTTTACAGCTAACAATAAATGAAATTATGTTATGGTTTCTACCCAGATGTTCTTTTATATGGACATTGGTAATATGCTCTGCATGGTTTGAGATTACCAGGTCCAGCATAGCATCATTCATAGGGGTTTCTATGAACTGTACCATAAAATTGTCCTGTAGTATGTTTAAACATTTTTGCCCTTTTAACTGTTCCTGCAGTACCATTACTCCAGTCAATTTCAGGGTAGTTAAATTCCCCCATTATTATCACTGTCCCAGCCTTTGGTTCCCTTTCAATCTTTGCAAGGAACTGAGTCTCCACCTTCTCATTAACACTGGGAGGCCTATAACAAACTCCAATGATTACCTTTTGTAGTACACACTCCCATGTGCAGTTCCACCCATAATACTTCAGCCTCATCACACACTCCATCAACTAGGTCCTCTTTCACACTCGCTCTGAGATCACTTCTCACATAGAGACAGACACCACCACCTTTCCTATTTCCCCTCTCTCTCCAAAAGAGAACATAGCCAGGAATATTAATGGCCCAGTCATGTGAAGAATGAAGCCAAGATTCAGCAATACCAATTGATTCATAGTTCTCTTCATGCATCAAAGCTTCCAACTCACCTATTTTGCTTGGCAGACTTCTGGCATTGGTGAACAGTTGGCCCTCATAATATTATACCACTAATGCATTGGAGTGAATATATGGACAAAGGGATTTATGATCATTTTGTATTGGTAATATCATTTAAAAGTAATTGACATTTTTGTCCACCATGGAGGTTATATCTGTACTGGTTAGGATTGTTTCTACAGACTTCCGACTCCGACGCAATATGTAGCTGGTGTGCGGGATGGCGGCTCCACATAAATACTCAATTCCATGACCAAGAGACGGCAGTCAGCATCATCTCCTACCCCCTCCACACCGGCGGTCCCCAGCACATGGAGCAGTATCTCATACATAGCGGCTCCAGCCCTGCTTCCGCCACCCATCTGAGTCATCTTCTTCTGCTGGGACTAAGGCTCCCAAGGTGGCTGATGGCAAGGACACAGGAGACTCTGGGTCAGTAACACAAACTGCGGAACACCACTCCCACCCTTCCTGAAGACCAGTATGGTAAGATTGCACAGGCTGTAGTGGCCCAGCTCTCACCAACCATCACAGCTGCAGTAGACAGAGCATTGGCAGTGGGCATTGACCAGATAAGTAAAGAGCTAAGAGATAATGCAAAAAGGATTGCTGAGGCAGAGCAGCACCTGCCAGACCTAAAGGATAAGCTGCCGAGCACTCAGACAGCTGCACAACAAGCCTCCCAAACGCAACAGTACATGCTAGAAATATTGGATGACTTGGAAAACTGTTCCCGTAGGAAGAATCTGAGAATTATAGGTCTCCCTGAATTTTTCAGCTCTGGCTTTCTAATGGAGCTTTGCCCTACATGCATTCCTGAGGCACTGAGGATCATGGCATTATGTCTAGTAGAAAGAGCACACCGACTGGGAGCTCCCTCAAATGACTGATGCTCTCCCCGCCCCATACTAGTTCGATATCTCAATTACTTGGACAGGGTGGCACTTGAAATCTTTCCACAACTCCCATTCTTTTCAACTCAATGGCAAACAACTTTTATTGTTTTGCTGACTACTCACAAGAGGTCTTCTTCAATTGGAAAGCAATTCAACCTATTTGTTTAGCACTATATCTGAAGGCATAAAATTCACACTGGCTTACCCCTGCCTTACTACACCTAAAAAATCAGTCAAGGGAGTCTAAATCTTTTTCCCATCCCTAGGAAGTAGCAATTTATCTGAAAACATATATGAATATCTCTCAGGAGGTAAATTCTCCCATGCCCCATTCCTCCTTTGCTGGTCCCAGGGAGCAAAGTAGCTCAAGGTAGGACCCGCCAAAGAGGCCTCGCTACTCTAACAAGTCAGGGTCATCCAAGGCCCCTCCAACATAGAAGCAGTGAAGAAACATGAATTCATATCCTTTTATACAAACTAATCTCTGTATGCCTAACCTTCAAATGCCTTTAAGCTTTCCACTTGTTAAGTAGCTGTTCACATCTATACACTGCAATGGTTTTATGTTCTATGACCCACAGCCTTCTGGAGTCACGCAGCTGCTACCTAGACAATTTGGACACTGGAGAAAGTCACCACCTTTCCACCCCTGAGGGATTTCTAACATCTGGTATTCCATGACACAGTCTCAAGGCTACAGTATCTGCGACTCTGGTAATGCTGTCTAGCGATGGAACACGTGGAATAATGTCAAGTTCTGGCTTCATAAGGTTTGGTTTTATGTTTATACATATTTTTGCCCCTTTTGGGTGAGCTATTCTCTCTTTTTACCTACCCCATGGCCTCTACTCCACCACCCTCACCTTAGAGGCAGGTATAGATATGCAATACATATTTGGCCTTTTCAACTCGGTTGTAGCATGTACTCGCTCCATATAAGATCCCTTTATGCCACAATTTAACTTTGAGAATCATCTCATAGAATGTGAAAGGATTAAGGTCACCTAACAAAGGCATGGTGATCTTATGTCACCTTAAATGACTCCAAACTGACATTTCCCTCTTAAGAGACACACCTGACCACAGAGGATTTTGAAACTCTGGGTTGATCAGGTTTATGGCTCGAAGTCCATAAAAGGTAAGGCAGGAGTAATGATACTCATTCATAAAAACCTGCCTTGTGAATTAGTGCATATGGCAGGAACAGAGGAAGGCCGAGTTATAACCCTCCATCTGCGGATAGGCTCAAAGGTCCTAGTCATTAGCAATATATGCGTCCTCAACTCACCCACCAAGGTCTTTTTCCAAAATCAATAAACTCATCTATCCTCCTAATTCACCTCCCACTTTTAGTAAGTGGAGACTTTAACTCAGTCATAAATATGCTAAAATATAGATCCTTGAGCAAACTACCAATACTACACTACCCCCCAACTACCAATACTACACTATCACAGTTTATAGAAGCTCTATAATTAGTGGATCTTTCGTGTCTAGCCCACACAGAAGGTAGAGAATACACCAACTCCCCCATCACACTCTATAAAGAATTGACTACATTCTTTGTAACTCCACCCTTCTGAAACACACTTCTGACTCAAACATACACAAGATGGCAATCTCTGATCACAGCCCTGTCTCAGTTCACTTAATAGATCTTGCCCCACAGACCTCTGTTAAGTTGTGGTGTTTTCCCTCTTACTTGATCCACAACCAGTACCTCTGGTCCTACAAGACACCTGGTCTGAAAATGAGGTCACTAACTCCAGCCACAAGCAAAACCCCAACCTATTTTGGGAAACTGGCAAAGCAGTTATATGGGGTAGAATCATTGCCTTTTCTGTCACATACAAAAAAAAGGTTACTAAGCACTACCACGAAGTGAGTAACTGGAAGCTTAAATACAATTACCACAACAAAACACCCCGAACAATTGGAAAACCTGAGAGAAGCCAAGTTCCAATTTGATTTATGGGCAGAAGCTCAGAAACGTATCCACCAGTCTCATCTAGACCTACAATACCACAAATAAGGTAAAAAGGTCATGAAACTGCTTGCCCATCTGTGTAGAGGCCCCACACACCTAACAACATTTCTTCCCTAAAATAATCACAGGTTCACCTCACCTCTACCTCGAGGGGCATAAATCAGTTATTAGAACGCTTTTATGCCAAACTCTATGGTCAGGAACCTATAGATGTAGATAACGCGGTTGACTTCCTCGACCAAATATCCCTGCCTAAGGTCGACCAAACACTTCTGATCCTACTGAATTCCCCAATCACCACCCAGCAAGTTACTAAGACAATTTCCTTTCTAACCAATGGTAAGGTCATAGGACCTGATAGGTACACGTCTGGATCTTACAAGTTAGCTGCAACCACACTCACCCCTACACTAGTGTCACTCTACCAGGAAATACAGAGAGGGGGGCAATACCCTCCTTCTAGCTACCATACCCATATCAAACTGCTAAAAAAAAGATTATTTCCATGGTTCTCTTCTGTTTATCAGATCTCCACATCTTTGCACAGCAGATATGAGTTAACAATCGAAACATAGCATTTAGCATAGAGTAACCATACATAACTGAGACCCAACAAATAACAGAACAATTCTGCATGATGTAGTGCAGGAAGAACTTTAAGGGCTCTGCCTTTAAATAAAGCCCATTTTAAATTATGTGTGTGTGAGTGTCTCCAGGTCCAAGTATGGGGGGGTCATCACAGGTGCAGGGGAGAAGCGACCCAATTTGGGGAAATGCCCCTTGCACAGTGAACAGTCTTTCAATTAGTAAGTCAACCACTACACCTCCGTTTAGCAGCAAATACCACATTAGTTCTCTCCTGTGTCATTGAACCATTCTTCATTTTACCTTCTCCATTGAGCACTCCATATATGATCTTTTTCAGCTTCTTCTCCTACCCTTCGATGAGTTACAACTATCAGTGTTTCAGAGTCCAATAAATGCAGTTCAGTGTCATTGGTATGCAGCTAATCAAAAAAGCCTGATAGTGAAAGGCTTCCCTCATGGGGTGGATAATATGTAACATATTAGCATCACCTAGGAATAAGGTGTTAAAAAACACTGCCAGCTTTCACTTTAAAGCAAAATTACACTGCTTTATTCAAAAGAAGCTTTGGTCATGCTGGGCCTCCATAAAGCTACCATGCCTTCAACCTTATCCCCCTTCAACTAGTCACTCCAGACTTGGAGTATGAAACATAGCGATACATTAATGCTAAAGAAAAATATATGACTCTCTGGCAAGTAACTTCTTCCAAATATATTACTATGACAATGAGTAAAAATGCTGTTTCTTTCAATCATTAACTTTAGCTCTAAAATGAGAAATTTTTGGGATTGAGCAGACAGGAACTGGTTCAATAACATTGTTTGGGAAAAAGGTGACAATACAAGTATAAGTAGATGATCAAACGAACAGTTGCACAGAAATATTTGGTACATTTGATGACTTAATGAATATTGTTTGAAAGTACTTCCAAATGTGTTTTGTTTTTAACATTCAATTTTGAAACAAATGGACTTTGAAGTGAATGAAAACCACATATACCATTTGAAATTCCTTTGTTTGAGAAACCATCTCCTTTCAAAATTTCTTGTTGCTATGGTCAAAAATAATGACCCCCAAGAACAATTAGAAAATTGAACAAAAATTACAAATTCTGAATAGAATTCTACTATTTTATTGCCAGTGTATTTACTCTTAAAGGACAATGTAATTTTTTATTGACTATTTCTTGTATTGTACCTATTGTTTTACACTTTTTTTGCTGCATGAGAAAAAATATATGGTGAATGCACCTCTGAAGCAAGAGATCACTTACAAAAAGTTACTTTTTGCTAGTTGCTGTTAGCAGATATTATATCACCTTTATAATCATCTGAATATTGAGTGAGCTGATCAAACCCCAAGAATGGCCTACAACAATTCCAAGAAATCCCAATGGTTTATCATGCCACAGAATAAATGTATTTACTTACTTTACCTATTGAGTGTTTACCTTTTTTTGTTTTCACATTATTTTTCAAGGTACAATATATGAAATGGTCATGTAAACTATGAATGTGGCTTATGGACTACAGGATAAACATATTTAATACAGATTTTATTTACTGCTTTCTTCACATCACTGTTCCTAAAAGTATAAATGAAGGGATTTAGGAGAGGGGTAAGAACTGTGTATATAAGAGCAAGAAATTTGTCATTTTCCCCTCTGGAAGGTATGCTGTACACCACAAGAGCTGATCCAAAGAAGAGACTGGACACAATAAGGTGAGAGGAACAGGTGGAAAAGGCTTTTTGTTTCCCTTCAGCTCCCTTGATTTTTAAGATGGCATTAATAATGTGAACATAGAAAGCTGTGATAATGATGGATGGGAGAATGATGGCAAAAGTGGCTGTTAATATTGTGACTAATCTGCTTATGGAAGGATCAGAGCAAGACAAACTTTGAAGTGGAGCCATATCACAGGTGAAATGATTTATCTGATTTGGCCCACAGAAGTCCAATTGGGC